GTCACAGCCCCTCGTTTGTTGTCCTCTTCTCTCTCTCTGCCTACGGTTTACCGGGCAGTTCTATTTGTGACGATATATATATATATATATATCGTCACAAATATATACAATAAATTTTCAGTGGACTACTTACCGATCGGGCCAGCTGACGATGAAGGGGCCGCCCGATCGGATGTATAATATGAGGGAGATGACTGACGATGCGAAATGAATCGAAGTAGATTAGGAGATGATCGGGCCAGCTGACGATGAAGAGGCCGCCCGAGCATCCAAAATATGATGACATCAGCAGTCGGGAAGCTGCTAATTTTTCGGAACCCCCTGCGCATCACAGATGTGATAAGCTAAGACCCATACCGCGCGGCTTGCCGTACCCTGAGGAAAAATCCCCCGGAAGCCCCGAAGTACGGATGCGAACAAAAAGGGATTTTTCTTTTTTTTTACTTTTGTTTTCTTTTTGAAACGGCTTTTTCATTTTTCTTTGTGCGGCCGAATAGCGGCCGCGGTATGAAAACCAAGAAACAGTTTCGGTTGGGACTTTTTGAATTTTTGCGTGCGCGCGCCTAAGCTCCGACTTCTTCGCACGCCTCGCACCCCCGGTTCTTGCTTTGCATCCCCGCGCCATTTTCCTTTCTTGCTGCGCGCGTTTCCCCCATGCAAGACCCTTCGTCTTCCCCTACGCCCAGCTCGATCCCCACCCCGTCTTCCTCCACGAGTGAATGGCTGCGTAGTTGGGATGCGCGGATCAATGTGGAAGGCAAAAAGGCGCATCACTTGAACGAACACCCCAATTACGCCTGACCACGCGACTCCGCGGAGCACCCCTTCCGAAACCCTTCACCCTTCTTTTGTCCTGCTCGTCTACAACCGGCGTGGCCCGCACCTCGCGCTGACAACCCGCTGCCTCCCACGCTATAAATTTTTGCAACCCCTTCCTCTCCTCCTCTTTGATCTCGGCTGCAATGCTGCGCGAGCTATGCGCGAACGTCCGCGGCGCCGAACAGGCTTGACGAGCCCAAGTTACGGGCGGAGTGACGACGTGGGTCGGGCTTAGCGATAGACTCGGGGTAAGCCAGCTGGAGGGATTGAGCAGTGGTGGAGATCGGGCGCCGATCACAACAGGGTCTTGTGGCTATGGTGGTCGGTGGTCCTTGGGGAGGTTGTGGTTGCGCCTGAGGGCAATTGGAAAGTTTTGTGTACAAGGAAACTCGCTTTCTTTTCTCCATTGCTGCTTTGTCTCCGTGAGATGTATGCAACGCCCTGTCGAATGGATAATCGGTTGTATGCATGGGAGTGAGTCGCGGTGAGATGTTCTGTGAAGGGGTGTGAGTCTGAGTATGCACGTATGTGGTCCTTGGGTATTGAGTGGCGATTGTCTGCCTGGATGCATGATTAAGTCGGCCATCGTACCTCTTTTTACTTTTGCCTCGTTCCCCTGTTAGTTTCGTGGTTCGATCGCGTAGGGCGAGGGCCTTCGCGTAACCGAAGGGGTCCCTCCAGTCCTGCGCGCTCGAGTCGGAACCCCGCGGTGCCGACGTCTGACGTGGCGCATTGCTGATTGAGGGCCGGAGGTGTTCGCTGTGCCCGCTGAAGGTGGTCAGCAGACGGCTCCGCCCCTCCGCCCGGACCCCTCTGGTTGAGTAGTGTCAAACCCGAGAGTGAGAGAGAGAGAGAGAGAGACGTTGTCGCTCTTTGTATGGAGACGGATTTCCAATCAAGCACGGGTTCTCGCCCGTGCACTTACCCCCACCCCGCGCGTCGCAGTGCACTCCCGATTTTCCCCATCGTCGACGACGACAGCGTCTACTGCGACGCGGACATAAGTGCCCTACGATGCATGGAGCAGGTTCACTGGCACAACCCTGAATGGGCGTGCCACATCTCGGGGGAAGGGTTTGTGCTGATAGACCACTTTTCTTCCCCGCCCCTTATACTGCCTTACACCGACCTGACGGTGCTCCCCTGGTCTGTGGCCTGCGCCGCGTGGCGCCCCCAGTTTGGTTGCCGCTGGTGCCAGCAGGGGGACTCCTGCTCGTGGTGAAGGCTGGTTCTGGGGTACGAAGGAGCCGCAAGGTTCCCTGAACTCTCCCGGGACGCCGGAGCTCTCCCTGCCCGTTTCCGGCGGCGACACCCCCCGCCCGCTGAGTTCCCCCGGCCGTGAGTCCCCGAGGCCTCGACGACGAGGCTTGAGAATCCGCGCGGGGGAATCCGTCGCCCTTTACGCAGAGCAGGCCCGGCGAGGGATCAGTCCCCCGTCCCTCCTTTTTCTTCATCTAGAGAAACCGGATTGGGCCCGTCCGCTCACCCTGTCCTCCTCCCCCTTTGTTTTTGGTAATCTTGACCAAGGATCGAGCCCCAGTCGGGGGAAACCTATCGGCCCAGAAACGAGAGACTCCCATTCCTACCGGGAGACTTAACCCCCATGGCCAAAAATCCTCGGCCACGCCCCCTTCTACTTCGATCGGCGACCCACTAACGAAAGCCGCGACGTGGCGTGAGGTAAGCGCATCACAAGCGACTCCTTGCAACAGCGAGGGCACTTTGCACTTCGCCTCGGTACAGGTGCTGGATGTCAGTGCATGACTGACATCAGCTTCTGTAGTCAGCTGATGTCATTCGAGGTTGCATCCCCAGCCAGCAACTTCAACATCTTCAACTGTCACCCCCGGCCTTTTTGGGTTCTGCTTGAAATTTCGCGAGACTCAGTGGGAATCAGGTTGGGACAGACAAATGCTCGTCCTATCCTGGGGCGGTCCTTTCAGAACTTGCAGCCCGGCCATTGCAGCCCCGAGTTGGCCGGTTCAACAATGCTGTGTGGTGAAGGGGCGGTAAACTGTAGAAAGGGCGGCTGCCAAATGTCTTCTGACAGCCATCGAAAATTTGAGGCCGTCAAATGTCTTCTGACAGCCATCGAAAATTTGAGGTTTTCTACGATGGTGTGGAGAGCCCCTATATCATTTGGGCAGAATGACTGAAACGGGCAGCCATGCTGCTGCTCCAAGTGGGTGAAGGTAGGTGGAGCTCCAGCTTCGCTCTGGAGCTGGAGACTGGAGACGAAGACCTCCCTGGCTATGGAGGAGTAGTGGTAGGAGGCAGTACTGAGGCCTTGGCTATGGAGGTAGAGGGTGCAGCGCCCCATACCAGGCTTAGCCTGTGGAGAATTGTGAGAGAAGGCTGAAGAGAATCACAGAGAGAGAGAGAGAGAGAGAGAGAGAGAGAGAGAGAGAGAGAGAGAGAGAGAGAGAGAGAGAGAGAG